AAAGGCTGAGGATATTTTTAAAGTCATAAAAGAACCTACCCTGGTTCATTATATAAAAAAGTATATCTCTAAAAGGTTGGCAAAGTTATATGAAACAGATTTGGGTTCATCCTTCTTTTTTAACGTTCTATTTTTTTGGGAAAACTTTAATGAGAGATCCTCTAAGTGTGGTCACTTCTTCTGTATGAAAAGGGTTAAAAAAATGATACGTAAGCGCGAATCTTCCCTCGTTAAATGGTTGGAGTTTGTTTGTTAAAACAGAAGTAAGAAACATTTACGGGTTTTATTTTTATTTTTTTGTTATTCCTCTTTTTCCCGTGTTCTGTATACTCAGCCTTTTGTCCGTGACATAGATGGTCTGTCGTTGTGTGTTGCTCGGTCTTATTCTTTTTTTTTGTAATTGTTCTTCGTATATTCTCTTATTTTTGCAAGCGCTCCAGAGCGTGATCAATAAACCCGCGCATAATCCACAAAAAATGCAATGAATATGAAGCAAGTCAAACATAATGAGAAATATCTGAATCTGCACGAACTTGTCAATGATTTTACTGGTATAGTATTTTCAGAACTGATTTGAAACTCAATGAAGCACCTTTCGTTTTTGTTTCACGTTTTCAACTATTGCCATTCACCAGTTTTTTCATTGTGCCACATTACGACCCCGCTTAAATTTCATCCGATCGAGTTCAAAATTTCACCAGAGCTCCTCAAGGTTATTCCGCAGAGGTAAGTTTTGGGAAATGTTTTTCAGACCTTTCCTGGTCGAGTTATAGAAAAAATACTGAAAAACGTCTCAAAAACCAAGTTTTTTCAATTTTAGAAACCCTATAAGTCGGTAAACAAAAGTCTAAAATAAAATTCCAAAAATACTCCTCTGCAATAGTGTCTTGAGTACCTCTGGTAAAATTTTGAACTCGATCGCATGAAATTTAAGGAGGGTCGTAATGTGGTACAATGAAGCCTCGTAGCAAGAAAATAGTTTTCAAGAAAAACACGTTTTGTACATACGCCACTTGTTTCAGAGTATTTGCCACGATGCTTATATCTCCGCGAAAACTCATCGAAAAATCCTGTAAAGCGTCGCATTGTGAAGGAAACACTTTCTTCTATCAGGCTATGTGTAAGAAAAATTTTGAATGTACAGAAAATGAGAGAAACGTTTATAAAACTAAAAAAATTGAGTTTTTTAAGATTTTAAAGGAAAAAGTTCAAAAGTTTATAACTTTTTGAAGAATGGGAGTGTAGTACTAGGAGTGGTCTTATTTTGTAGCCCACACTTTCCTCTACATTAGGCTATGCTCAACTCAAAATCCAAAATTCTTACAGAAAAGAGGGGGGTACCCTTAACACCGGTTAGAGCTTCTTTCTGCTTTTTATTTGACATTACACTTAGCCATACTCGTGACCAGAGCAGGGGAAGTGCCCTTAAGTCTTAAAGAAATTAAACATAAATTTCAACTTGTTTTACGTAAACATACATTGAATTTAAACGACTTATATTTCGAAATAACTAACACAGCAAATAAAACTGTTCAAACTCATCCATGTGAAGATCTTTCTAGTGTGAGCGATGTCATTGAATCGAATATTAGAAAAATTAAAAAGCTTGAGAGTTATAATCAAATTAAAAAGTTTAGTGTACCCGATAGTATGAAATTACCAATTAGATCCTGATCGATTTAAAACTGGTTTCAAACTTATTTTACGCCAAATGGAACGAGTTTCAATCAAAAATAAAGAAATAATAAAAGCATTAAGAAATGAAGCCTTTAATGAATGTAAATTATCAATCAAACGTCGTGTTGGGTGTGCATCCGTTTGTTCTGGTTGTGGTGCTAAACGTTCCGTGGCGGGGGAACATAAAGCAGAGCTTGCTGAAGAATCACCGAAAGATCATAAATGTCCTTCTGAGCAATGCAAATGTGAAATATTTCTTCTTGCATTTGTCATGGTTCATGAAACGAATCGCTATATTGCCGAAGCATTTCATGGAGGACGTTATTACAAAACTCAAAAACCACGTCTAGTTATTTGTTATCAAGACTGGGCAACTACTGGAAAACAAGTTAGTGATCAAGACCATTTCATAATCTCAAAAGCATATACTGTGCACGAAAAACGTACGAGTACTGCAAAAACAAACCTTGTTCGTTCTGTTAGTCGGGTGCATAAGCATTTCTTTTGAGATAACTGAACATATAATGATGAAAAGGAACGTGCAGCACTTTTAAATAAAAGCTCTATGCCCGAATACATAAAAGTTTTAAAAACAAATATTTGATCCTTGTTGCTCTCCCGCATCGCCTATGATCACTATGCATACGTATCTGCCTAATCTTAACGATCACAGTGGCCGCTGTTAGCTGATGTTCATCGATGGGGATTGTGAAGTACGAGAAGGTAGGACGGGGCCGTTTCTTGTGGCTGTGAGTTCACAGGAATGTTTTATCCATGAGATGATGATTCCGCGAACGACGGTGCTGTGAACCGACTCTTCTGCAAACGATTCTTACGCGAACAGGATCCTGACTCTTCCGCGAATTTTTTTGGATACAAATCTAGGTATATTTAGCAGTGTGTGGTGGACGAGAGGGCAAGGTGAGAGTGAGCTCGAAAACCAGTTTCAGGTAAAGGATATTTTCTTCACATAGTGTGAAGTCCTTTCTGCTGTTTGGAGTAATTATCTGCTATGAAGTCAGATGCTTTATTAGATTTCGGACACATCATTGTACTTTTTCGATTTCAAGTGGACACTAGGTTTTTTACATAAAGTTTATTGATAAGAATAAGTGAGATAATAAACACAATCGAGCACTTTACTCATAGTATAGTGTACTATAACAACAAGTAACAAGAACGATTAATCAAATCGAGTCGATTAAGATATTTAGTTTGTAAAACATTCGTTGGATAATGATCACGATTAATCATACGCAGGAGTAAATTGTAAAACTCATACTATTTTGACGTACTAGACGATGAAATACAAATTATACGATTTGTTAGACTTAAAAGAATGTTATTGATGATATGAGGTAGGTGTGAAGAGGTAAATTGTAAATACTGAAATGTATTAGATAGTTTGACGTAAAGTAAAGGTCCAAGACGGTTTATTGTATGGTTAATAAATATATTTACATCTAAGAAATAAACATTTACTTGACTTTCTAAATGGTATATGTCAAACTGACGCCAACATTGTTTAGTATCGATAATAAATCATTCAAAATAGCGATATCATTACATAATTCACTATGGTGAATTTTGCATAGTTCAATCTCTAATGGAAGTATTGATAAAAAGTATTGACGGAATAGAAAGTGAACAAAGTTTTTTGAATAATCGTTACTAATTAATACGCGGATATGTTCGCTAGAAAAGCAAATAAATAAATCTAAAATCAAACAGGGTACAGTCGAATGAAAGCAGGAAACATTATGTTCAAATCATTGTAATATGTATTTGACCCAGGATTGTGTAACCGGTATGAAAAATACGATACCGGTCCGGTCACCGGTATACAAACTTCGTATCGCTACCGGCTTGTCGTGATCATATTTTGCCTAAATACAAATAATTTTTCCTTGTTTTTCTTTACTGTAAACTTTATTTTATGTTATCAAAGGGATAAAGTAATCTTTTTACTTTGATTATATGTAGCTGTTTAAAATACGCTTTTTACTTTAGAATACCATGTGTAGTAAACCCTAAGGTCTGTCGTCAGAGTTGTTCGAGAAGCTTTTCGTACTGAAACAATCACTGCCTATGAATGAGCTTTGAATGAATTTTCAGACATTTTATTTGATATTAAACAAAAGCTGCATGCTTTTCATATTCTAAAAGTGAGACATCATTAAATTTAACGATAGTCGATGTGAAGACGCTACGCTTTTCATGAGATTATTTGAAACCACGCCTCTTTCGAATGAACCAGCCTGTTCAGAGTCTTTTATCGAATATTGAGAGGGTATGACCACTAGTTTATTCATTAAATAGTTTAGTTCACTAGTTCAACGTGCTAACTAAAGCCAATGTACCTTGCAGACCATAATTTGCAATTCGTACTACACAATCAACTACTTGGCCCATTTTTAGCCAGTTGTGCCACGTTTAGACGTTTCTGTCAATTATGAGGGATAAGCTCGCTCAACAATGTTGAAAAACCAACAGAGAATAGGGATTGAGAGTATAGAATCTGTTTATAGGAGAGATATTCGTTTTTAGAACAATTTATTGTATGTGTATGGCCTTCATGCGAATGTATTATTATAACTCGTAGTTTCCTTTGCACAATTTAGTGCAATGGGTAAATGCGTATTTGGAGAAGTACAGCGTATGAAAGGTCGGAAGATCGAATCTAGGAGAAAAACACATGCAATAAATTGTTCTAAAAAGTGACTAAGAGTGTTAAGATATCATCATGACGACATTTTTTCTAGCTCGAATCAACACTCATTATTCATCTTCATGAAGGTAGGTTAAGCACTACTTACCAATGGAGAAATTTTAATGCAGCTGCACTTCGAAACTTTGTGGTTTGATTACCTTCACTGCACCAGTTTGTTTTACATGCAACCACTCCCTTTTGAAACAGCCCGTATATTGTCTGTTCACCTCAGTTTATATTTCTTTTCTGGGTGGTTTATAGACTCACACATTAGTCGCGTAATAAAAATGTCAATCAAACGAGTCATTCATACAACGGTAAATATCTCTGTCGAATAGAAAAAAAACTATTCTTATAACCAATAACGCTTCATTTAATATTCACAACAGCTAATAATAAAAACAAGGCTCATGAGAGTGAGCATGGACAAAAACAACGCCATTTATTCATGGTTAGCCAACAGGAGGAATACATACATAGCTTGGGGTAACAAAGATCACTATCATTTTATAATTACACATTAGTATGCATCATTTGCTGTCTGCTTAAGCGGTAGATCATATATTACGCATCTATATTTGTTTTTAAACTGCGGTGTTCAAAGCCGGGCGAGTAGATGTGTTATTGTGCTACAAGGTGTTTCGATAACGAAGCTTTGACCTCAGTATTTCTTTTGTATTTCTTTTTACTTAATACTCTTCACATATAGTACTAAAATTTAAACTAACTGTATGAGATTATACGGGTATTCATCCTGGAGAGAGAGAAAAATATTCAAATTCACATAAAAAACAGAATAGACTGAAAAAAAAAGAAATATTTTTAGCTTACACGACATATGAACTCTATTTACACGTTATAGGGAGACAAGTTTAGAAAGAAAAATGCTTTTATCTGAAAAGGAATTTTCCATTTTTACACATAAAAGAGATGCCGATTTTAATGACTGGACAGAAAAGGAAAGAAAGCGCCATTAGTAGTAACAAAACATCACTACCTGACAAAGATTCATATTAAAATTAATTACCAAGTTCTTTTATATCTTTTCATAGTATAAATCAAAACCGTCTCAGACACACAATATTCTAGCAATGCAATTGCACAAAAAAGAAATATATCTGAGATTTAGAGATGACATACATCTAACCACGAAAAGACCTCTCTTTGACTTTGTAGACTTATTAAAAACACTCGACGCCAAAGACCCACACATACGACTGACTTATGAAACCGGAGACTCAGTAGATTACTTAGACGTCACGATTTTTAAAGATCTCTCAAGCACTCACTTCCGCACAACTGTTTTCCGCAAATCCGCTGCTCAGCCATATATTTTGCCCTTCGAGTCTTCCCATCCAATCCACATAAAACGTAACATCCCATATGCAGCAGTCCTTCGAGCGCTCCGTATCTGTTCAAGCGTTGCAGATTGTAAAAAAGAAATTTTTGACATCCGAATTCGCCTCCTACTCAACGGCTATCTATCTAATTTCATTGACGCCCATTACGACCGCTTTGCCAAAGATCTCCGTCTCCGTAATCTTGAATCTCTCTTCCAGAACCAAAGCAAATATGAATACTGTCGCACAAATGTTAGAGATCAGAATTGGACAAGCCACCGACCACTCCGAAAACAAATTGACCCCAAAAAAGATTTGCTCCTTCACTTTTCATATGTACCTTCCATTTCACGCTTCGGACCAAAATTCTACCAAATGTGGACGGAAACATTTGAAGACACACCCCTCACAGATGTCCATCCAATTTTTGCAAATCGCCTGACTGAAAATTTAACTCAAATGCTTGTTCGTAAGAAACCATCCAAACAAATCCTCCGTCCTCCACCAGACAGAATTTAAAGCATGTTAGCATGTGTGTGCTGCCGAATTCTTCTTACTAATTTTAGATGATCACCAAAACAAACAAGGGAAAACAGCTTCAACCATGCACCTCAAATAATAATCAGCACGTACAACAACCCAACAGTTAATTCAAATGCGACTCTGACACAATGCAGCGTTAAGCGGCAAGGTCACATACACACTCTAGTAACAGTTTATTTATTTCAACAAAGCAGGAGGAAATAGGACCCTATTTCCTCCTCCTTTTTATCGTTATCTTCATCATTTATTGCCAAAAACATTTTAATCACACTTCCGGTCTCTCGCTCTTCAAAACATTCTCTCCGAAAACATTTTCTAAACCAAAAAATGACAAAGCTCAAAATGTTTCTTTAACCACATGTAAAAATACACATTTTTCCTTCTTTTTATCAGAGAAAAAAACTACCCCCTATAGTGCACACGCAATTTATGAACATCATTGTGTGCAAATATAGTATATCACGTAGTGTGATATGTGTACAAGGGGTATGAAAAAGAAAAAAAAAAAAAAAAAAAGACCAGTTCACAAGCATTTATTGATGGGGACAATTGGGAACGCGTTTTAATTCATGTGAGTACATTTTTCATTTTTCCTTTTATTAAATATTCGTCGTCGTTTTTACAAAGTACATATATTTTTTTATACAAAATAAAACTAAAATTTCAAAACATCTCTTTTCGTTATTATTTATTCAAGCAACATTCTCTTATCGTTTCTCGCGCTTTATTTCACCTTTCGTACTTCTCTTAGTACACAAAAAAATGAAAAAATGAAAAAACCAACTTTTCAAAAGAAATTTGGTTAGCTTTTCCTTTTCTTTTCGTTATCTTTCCGCTTTGCTTCTCTTCTTCTTCGATTTATTATTAATTGTCAAACACCCTCATCCTCACCTCACCCTCACCCTCACCTATGCATATGGTACCCATATGTTAAAAAGATTCTCAGGTATTTACCATTACTCGATACAGGATTATACATAGGGTACCTTGTATGTTAAAAATTATAGAAGGTAAATAATTGAGAGCGGTATAAGTTTATAGAATTATTTTATCGTTGTTTTCATCTATTATTTTTATTAGTGTTTATTATTATTGTTTTTGAAGGTTCCCATTAACTTGTATAGAATATTTTATGGGAGATTAAGATCTAAAAATTTTTTTTATTAAAATTCTATATTTTTATATATATAAGTAGAAAGGTTAATAGAATTATATTATAAGTATACGGAGAATAACTTTACAAAATGTAAAATTACAATAGGTGGGTTTTGGGGGAAAAAATTTGGAATGAAACCTCAATTTTTGAAAATGAATTTTATTAAAAAAAATAATTTATTAGTTCTTGTAGTTAGTTTTAATTTTTTTGAGTTTCTTTTATAATTTTAGCTAATTTTTAAAATCAAGTGTTTATTTTTTATCTTTATAGTTTTTTTAAAGGATTGTTGGTTTTTTTTAGTGGTAGATATGATGAGAAAATAAAATTTGATTTCTAATCAATTAATTAAATTTTCTTTAAAATTAAGTTATTATAATTATTAATTGTTACTTAATAGAATTAATTTCAAGTAAATAATGTTTATATGATTTTGTTATTTTTGAGTTTAATAACTTCTAATGTTTTTTATGTATGACTAATTAATGAATTTATGTTGTTTTTAATATTATTATTTTTGGTTTTAAATGACAGTAAATATTATAGTTTAATTATATATTCTTTTATTCAAGCGGTGTTTTCTTTTATTCTTTTTTTAACTGTTTATTGAAGTTATTTTTCTTTTTGTTTCCTTTTCTAGCCACATGGAGCAATTGTAACGATAGATATCTGAAAAAGATATTTTTGTTTTATGAGAGAAAAGCTCTTCGGTATTGAGTCATTTTCTGGAACACTTCATATGGTTTATTCGAATAGACGAAAACGTTTATGACTGTTCTATACGACACTGCTTTTGAGAAACAGTTGATGCTTCTTGTTTTATTCGAAATTAAAATTAATTTTTATTCACAAGAAAACTCGCACATCCTTCAATGTATCGGTTTATCCTTAACAGCTTCAAGCATCAATTTTCTCCATATGACTGTTCCACTTTTGTCTTCATCGAAATAGTGATAAGCGTCATTAGCGTATTTCCAATCACCCGAGCATCGAGTAGGCGCTTCAGTTTTAGTCATTTGTTTGATGCCCGACCATTTCCACCAACAGTTGTTAAAACTACATGTTTTCGGTTCAACATATTTTGAGCACATTGGGCATCTTGTTGTCGATTCATTTGTATCCGACACGAGATCAAATTTCCTATAACCTATAGACATAATGACTTTTTCACCGTTAGCCTCGCACCCAGAATTCAAACATGTTCCTTCCAAACACAGACCACGAGTTGCTCGGAGCCATGCTGGTGCACCTTGTTTTGACCATTCAATTGTCAAAAAAACCTGCTTCATTGCTAACGTCAACAAACTCGGCACCAAAGACAGCATCAAGATCTCCACCACCTCCACTCAATCGCAATACTAAGTGAAGACTGTCTTCTTTCCGTATATCATAGTCGGATAAGCTTCGACCGTCTATAGAAAAAAATAGGCAGATTTTCTAATCGATTCTATACCAATGACTTTCACTGACTAACCTTCCAACTGCATGCCAGAAAAAATAAGTCGCTGTTGGTCTGGTGGAATTCCTAGTTTGTCTTGTATCTTTGCTTTGACGAGCTCTATTGTATCAGAACCGGAGACCTCCAATACCGTTACCCTACCTGTCAAATCTCTAACGAAGATCTGCATGATCTTCGCGTGCATGATTTGGCGTGCATGATTTGGTATAGTTCCTTCTGTTTCTTGGATTTTTGCTTTCAACATTCCAATTGTATCCGAAGATTGAACTTTGAATGTGAGTGTAGTGCTATTTTCTCTTATAACGAAGATCCGAATACTGGAAGGTGGACTTGCTGATCCTAGCAAAAAAAGGATGCGTAGAGAAAGTTTTTCAAAGCAATGTCGGAACAAAAGAAAAACACGGTCCCAGGCAAAAAAAATAGAGCTAGAATCGAACGGTTGGAGCTAGATAACACGGTTTTCGACCCAGTTAAGCTAGA